ACCACATAAGCAAAAAGAAAAAAGCCGGAAGTGGCGCTGTGGCTCAAGTGGTAGAGCGCTCGCCTTGAGCTGAAGAGCTGAGGGACAGCGCCCAGGCCCAAATGTTCAGGACCCACTACCAGACTCCCCTCCCCGCAAAAAAAAAGAAGAGGCAATGTTTTGTTGGCCAGTCCTGGAACCTATGTATCCTCTCAGCAAAGAGCTCCGGACTAGAGCCTCTGTCTTTGTACCAACAGTGGATGGTCAGCCAGGGAGGTCCTAGTGTGAGAATCCTAGATGTACTTGAATAGCCGGAAGCAGCTCCTGAATCCGTCACACAGAGGAAAATGACCTCTCCAGGGCCACCCACCTTAGCTCTGGGCAGACCCACCCAATGTGGGGTTTCTTCTCATTTAACTCTCCAATACTAAGGAACTCCCCAAGTTGAGGACAAGGGAATGTTGGTCCCTCTGGCAACCTTAAGATTTCACATTAAGCTCCAAAGTAGGTGGCTGATTTTGGTGACATTTGGTATAGCTACCAACAGGTAGCAATGGATATAGTTAATCTGTGATCTCACACAAAAGAAAAGATCTGTTAGTGTGATAGACTAGAAAACAGATAAAAGCATTTATGTATTTATTTGAACCAAATTATAGGTGGCATATCTGTTCAATGTGGTATAACTGTGCCACAGTTAAATATGGAATAATCTATATATCATAAGTCTGCAACAAGTTCTTTGTGGAGAGGTGTCCATGAACACACTTACAATGTCTGCAAAGATGTGCTCTAATTGCTAATAAATGTTACCTGAGTGGAGGCCTTGAGGAAGCCAAGGAATGAGGATGAAGAGTTAAAAGATTTTCACTGTACCCCACCCCCACCCCATGTCAATTGCATTATTTCTGTACCGATTTACGTTTGGGGCAGTACTAGAGTTTGAACTCAAGGCTTATGCTGAGCCATACCACCAGCCATTTAATGAACTGATTGTTTTTGTTTTTTGTTTTTTTGGTGAGTCGTGGGGCTTGAACTTTGGGTCTGGGTGCGGTCCCTGAGCTTTGCAGCTCAAGGCGAGCGCTCTACCTCTTGAACCACAGAGCCACTTCTGATTTACTGGTGGTTAACTGGAGATGACTCTCACGGACTTTCCTGCCTGGGCTGGCAGGCTGCAATCTTCAGATCTTAGCCTCCTAAGTAGCTAGGATTACAGGTGTGAGCCATTGGCACCTGGCTTGAACTGATTATTTTTGAGGCAGTCTCCTTTTCTCCCTGGACCTGGACCTGGACAGTGATCTCCCTATTTTAGGCTTCCCAACATAGCTGAGATGATAAGGCCTGTGTCACTATGCCCAGCTTCTTCCCTTCAAAATGGAGTCTGGTAAATTTTTCCACTTAGGATGGACAGGAACTAAAATCCTCCCAATTTCAGCTTTCCAAGTAGATATAATTACAGGCATCAATCAGCTTAAAATTGGCTTTAATAAAATAAAAAAAGGGGGGGGAAATAGAAAGAAACAAAATCTTAAGAATTTATCTTTCTGTTTATTTATTATTTGAGCAACTACCAAATGCCGGGCATGCAACAAGGTGAAAAGTTCAGCCTCTTCCCACAATCAACATTTGAACAAGGCAAAACGAAAAAGTAAAGACGATGATCTTCATGTTTCACGGGGAAATCCAGAAGGCAAAGCAGGGCCCCCAGGAAATGCTGCACCAGCTGCCATCTTGAAACACAGTGATTAATGGCCATCACTTGAAAATCCATGTGAGTCTTAAAAGGAATCTCCATTGTTTCTAGATTTTAGAGTTTGAAGACAAAGGACAAGATTTGAAGCTCTTAACTACTTAACCCCACAGAGAGGTGGTTCTGATGCTCTTTAAAGGCTCCGGCCCCACACTGTTTCTATCAGTCTATATGGCTTCCTCTACTAGGCTAGAAATGGCCTCTACCACAATTGCTGTTTTGAGTTGAATTTCTAAAAATAAAGTCATGGGAAGCCTGGAGCTGGGGAGAGAAATGGCTCTACACAGCTGTCTCAGAGAGATGATTCATTCAGAGAGGAAGATGTGAAGCATTTGATTTGAATTACCTAAGAGCTGAAATTGAGGGCAAATCTCTCCTTGTAGCCACTGCTGTATAATTATCATCCTAATGGAATCCTTTTAAAACCAAGGCAGTCCAACTAGTAAGTTTAATTGAAAATAAAATTTTCACACCCACTATTCTGTCAAAAACCACATTCAATGAAGACAGCTCAGCAGTGACCAAATCACTAATGCAATGCGTCTGTGTGGCAGGAGACAGGGTGAGAAGGGGAGGGATGGTGTTCTCTCTAGGCAGCTTCCCAGGCTCAGTGTTCCAGGTCTGTAGATTTTTCTAAGTCTTTTGGAAAAAAGTAGTGTTGAATTCTCTGTGGTCTGGTGTTACTCCTGCGTCTGTCTCCTACATAAGTTCATCACAGTCTCCTGAAAAGAAGAAGGATTGGAATTTGAAAGGAAGGAAGGAAGGAGGGATGGAGGGAAGGAAAGAGGGAAGGAGTGAAGGAGAAGGGAGGAAGGGAGGGAGGGAGGGAAAAGGAAGAAAGGAAGGGAAAGGGAAGAAAAAGGAGAACGGGAAGGAGGAAAGGGCAGTGGGGAGAGAGGAGGGAGGAGGGGAGAGGGGAAAAGGGAGAGGGAGGAGAAGGGGAGAAGAGGGGAGGGGAAGGAAGGGGAAATGGAAGGGGATGGGAGAAGAGGGGAGGGAGGGGAGGGGATTACTGGCTATGCAATTCTCCCATCACCAACCCAGGACACCGTGCACTTTAGGAAGATCACACTTACCTATCAACTCACAACTTTTGACAGTGACCTGCAACTGCTCTTAGCCACTTATTAGTGGTATGACCTCTGAGTTTCTTCACATCTCTGAAGTAGCGGTTTTCTCATCTAGAGGGGAAACACAAAGGAGACTGTAATTCCCACACTTCCCAGGATGCTCCAGTAGATGAATCCTGGGTACCTTCCCACTGTGAAGAGGGATGGAGAGGTGAGCCAGGCCTGTCTTTGCCACCCACAAAGTGTTTGAACTAGCAGCGACTGCATAAACTGGGAGCCAAAGATTTATGCAGAAACTCAGCCTTAACCAGAAAAACTGATGCTGCTGGTAAGAACGCTGGGCCATTCTCGGGTGTATGCTCTTCTACCAGGTGACAATGGTAATGGTCCAGACCATATGCTTTTGTGGTCCATGGGCTAGTCTTTCTTTAGAAAAATGTGGTGTGGCTGGGCATCGGTGGCTCACGCTTATAATCCTAGCTACTCAGGAAGCTGAGATCTGAGGATAGCACATCAAGGACAGCTTGGGCAGGAAAGTCCGTGAGACTCTTATCTCCAATAAACCACCAGAAAATTGCAAGTGGCGATGTCACTCAAGTGACAGAGCACTAGCCTTGAGCTAAAGAACTGAGGGACAGCGCCCAGGCCCAGAGTTCAAGCCCCACAACTGACAAAAAAAGAAAGGAAGGTGTGGTGTAGGCTTCGGCTGTGAACTGACTCTCTTGTTCAGGGACTTACAATGGTCCTCTTAGACACTGCACTCACTCCCAAAGGTACAGCCCAGCTCTGGAATCAGACACTGGGTTCAAATTGCAGACCTGCTAATCAGATGTCTGATTCCTAGGAGCTGTCTCAGTTTATTTTTAAAAATAGTACCGAGTGCTGACGGCTCACACTCTAATCCTAGCTCCTCAGCAGGCTGAGATCTGGGGATCAAGGCTCAAAGCCAGCCTAATAAGAAAAGTCTCTGAGACTTTTTTCTCCAATTAACTGGCAACAAGCCAGAAGTGGAGGTATGGCTCAAGCCTGGAACACAATGGGCCAGCACTTGTGAAGTTAAATGTGCATGTGTGCTAGGACTCATTTGCATCAGTGCTGGGTCCACACCGGGGAACTCTCCCACAGTTCACAGAACAGGTGTGCAATGTTCATTACAAAACTGGGCTGAGGGAACTACGATCTAACAGTGGGGCACAGGATCCATAAACAAGCAGGAGCTATGCCAGGCACCAAGACTGGACGGCTCAAGTTTGCATGTGGTTTGAGTATGTCCTCCCAAGGCTCATAGGCTTGAAGCAGGGTTCTCAGTGCTGTGATGGTGACATCACAGGGGTGCAACCTTCATGAGGGCACCAGAATGAAAGGTTGCTGGGACCCCCAGTTCTCTCAGGGCAGCTGGTATGAAGAGTGTGTGTAAGCCTGGCCCCTCCCCTCTCCCACACTTCCCATCTTGAGTGCGATCTCTCCTGGTGCATGTTCCCTCCATGGCACCACCCCGTGAGACCTTCACCAGGGCGGAGCCTCCTGCCAGTGCTTTGTCCTTGGATAAAGATGATGGGAATAAAGAGAGTGAAAAAGGAAGCAAGAGATGGGTACTTACAAAGACCAGTGACAGTGTGCATCAAATAAGGGAAGCTGTTGGAAAACCCAGGTAGGAATGTTTTCATGGTTGGCACTAGCGATCATCTGGATGGAAGGGGTGACGCTGAGCAAAATACATTGTTCCCATCACTTAACATGTTAAACTGGAATCCTGTACAACTATAAAATAAACTGAAAAAAATTTACAATCAACTGACCTCTAAAACTATGTGTGTGTGTGTGTGAGGAGGCGTAAGCAGAAAGCTGGCAGCAGGATCTATGATCCTAACCCCTAAGGACTTGCGTGCTTGAGTTAAAGCATTTCTTTAAAAGATGGGTTAGTCCTGCAGGATTAAGCTCTAGTGTTTTATTGCCTTGTAGGCTGTATCAGTCAGGAGAGGCCATGTTATGCTATACTAACATGTATCCCTGAATTTCAGTTTGCCTAGCTGTGCTGAATAAGCTGACTTAAAAATTCTATATGTGACTGGGCATCGGTGGCTCATGCCTGTAATCCTAGCTACTCAAGAGGCTGAGATCTGAGGATCATGGTTCAAAGCCAGCCCAGGCAGGAAAGTCTGTGAGACACTTATCTCTAATAAACAACCAGAAAACTGGAAGTGGCACTGTGGCTCAAATGGTAGAGTGTTCGCTTTGAGCTAAAGAGCTGTGGGACAGCACCCATGACTGACCAAAAAAAAAAAACCCCAAAAATCTATACAGTGTGACGATTTCCATTTTGTAGCTTTTTTTTGTTTGTTTGTTTGGTTTCAGGGTTTGTTTCTTTGTTTGCAAACTGATGGTTTTATCTGTTCTTAAACTTGTTTATGACTCTGGGAAACGGATAAGTCCTAGTCACTAAATATATTGCACTTGATCAGCCAAATGGACCTAAGTAAGAAGTTTTTTAATATATATGGATACATATATTAATGTACGTATGTATTTATTATATGTATGCATATGTATATGTATGCATACATGTATATATGTGTACATATATGCGATGACATATTTTATATATACATAGAATATATATGCGCAGTTGCTGGAGCTCATCTCAGACTCACTGAGCTAGAAAATCAAATGGAAGCTCAGGCACCTGCATTTCAGCAAATTTCTCAGGTAATCATTTGCAAAGGAAGTCTGAAATCCAATGCCATAAAAAGGACTTGAGAAGGGGGAAAAGGATGGCAGGAGGTTAGATCTAGGAGGGACTGAAGAAAGGAGAAGAAGGGGACTGAAGAAAGGACAGTGGGGAAGGTTCCCTCTGTGTGTGTGTGCAAATGTGTGTGTGCACGCGTGTTCCACCAGGAGAAACAAGCTTACAAAACCACGACTCACCATCTGCAGAGCCCTTCTTCCAGCCCTGGCCAACAATGCTCACACTCCATCGGACAGCGTTCACAATCCTGATGTGCAGGAGGAGTTAACCTTTCCCACAGAGTGAGGGGCAGCGCCTGACGACTTGGCCATCGCTGTCAGGGACCTGAACGGCAAGAAGGACCAGAAACACTACTGTCATCTAGATGTGTACCAAATGTCACAGGCTCTACCTTAGCTAATTCTGTCAATGAGCAGTCTCAGTTTACCCAGTGGATGAAAGTTTTATATAGTTTCTTTTTAATCATACTTCAAATTGTATGCAGGGTGCCATACCATGTTTTGAAGTTCAGCTGTATGTTGGAATAACTCGATGTGGTTAATGAACCTATGCATTACATCCCGTGGTCATTGATTGCATCTACTGCCTCAGCAGTTTTCAAGAATTAGAGCTGCCATGATGTTCACCAGCTTCCTTGAACTTACGGCTCCTGCTTAACGTGAAATTCTGTGTCCTCTGAAACAAACCCTCCCATTCCCCAACAACCCCTCGTACCATCCACCTTACTTCAATGAGATCAAGTGTTTTTCCATATTTTAGATTCAACATGTGAATAAGATCGCATCATGTTTATCTTTCTGTGCCTGGTTTGGGCTACGTGTATCAAATACACACTCATACACACACACATAAATGAATATATATACACACACACATAACACATGAATATGTTATATAGATGTATTTTTACATCTGTGCAATAATTAGAGATGCCGCCCAACAATGAGAAGTCATATAGACTGTCCTATTGAGGGCAGGTTTCCAAGGTCCCAGGAAGGTAGGTAACAGTTGGAAAAGGAGTCAAGTACGTACCCAAACCTCCATCCCCCCAAATCTCATATCAGTCCAGTGGGTGAGAGTATGTTCTACCTCATTCTTCTGATGAGGAAACAAAACCAAAAACTGAACCTGTGATTCGCCTCAGATCCTAGGAGATCTCACCCTGACCTGGCTGACCCCAAGGCTCATACCAGGCTGCCTTAAGAGTTCATATGTTCTTTGATTAGGTGCTGGTAGTACATTCCTATAATCTCAGCTACTCAGAAAGCTGAGATCTGAGGATTGAAGTTTGAAGCTCAAAGTGAGCTTAGGCAGGAAAGTCCATGAGACTCTCCAATTAACTAGCAAAAAAAAAAAAAAAAAGCTAGACTGGAAGTGTGGCTCAAGAACAGCAGCCAAGCAAGACAAGAGAGAGTATGAGGCTGTGAAGTCAAGCCACAGGACTGGTACATACACATCAAGTTCTATAGATATAAGTAGGGAAGTTGAGGGGGTGAGGTGGGAGTCTGTTCTACAAAGGGGGGCCAAAGATCTTTCTAGTTAAGAGGAAAACCCAAATTATTTAAAAACAAATCAATTCATGAGCAATACATGGTTATTAGGAAAAATAAATAACAGATAAAGAAGGAAAAGAATTATAATCCCATTACCACTCCAAATGCTTTACCCAGTCAAATACATATTTTCTAGCCTAAAAACAAAATGATATAATTTATGCAGGTTTATCAAAGTTGTATAATTTTAATATTTTTTTAAACATGGATGACTAGTGGTGCTTTCCCAGTGCTAAGCTGTGCATTCTTGCTGGTACATACATTGCTCTGCAGGTTCCAACAGAGAATGGAAGCCTTTCACCTTTTCTTTTCTTTGTTTCCTGTGAACTGTGTCTCTGCCATCAAGGCAGAATGCTGTATCTTGGTGCAAAATGTGGCCTTGAAAAACAGAAACACCAATTGGATTGGTTTCTACTTCCTGATAGATGAAAATAAAGAATAGGTTTTAAAGCAACTAATACAAAATGATTAACATTATTTTATCTTAATGCCAAAGGGAAACACAGCTGAGTTAGCATAGGGCCTCTGGCATGACCACCCCCAGCTCCCCACCCCCATCCAGTCAGCTCCACGACAAATTCTAGCTGGGAGAGTGGAAAATAGCCTCCTTTGCTCCCCCTCTGGTGCTAACGAGGCTCCCTATGGAGACATAATTAATTGCATTCAATTAAGAGTCTTGTACACTTAGCCTTGGCTGCCAGGCACTGTCCCTGTGTCCATGGGAAAGTAGGTAAGATAAGCAGCCCGTTGATGACTGAAAGACCTGCATTTCTCTCAGCCCCTCCATCCTACACTCGTCCTCTGTGCGATCTTCTTTTAAGTTAGGCCTAATTTAGGCACACTGAAATGTCCAGTTTAAGATTTGACAAATGAACCCACCCAAATGCACCAAAGCACCAAGACAGAACATTTCCCTCACCCAAAGGTGTCCTTGTACATTTCCCAAAGATTTCTGTCCACTTTCCAGGGTGACCCACCATGCTGATTTCTAACACTGCATCAGTCTTGAATGTTCTAGAAGCAGCTATAAATGGACCCTTGTTTAAAATGAGCATGGCCAATGAACAAGAACAGACAGCATCTAATGGAAAGGCAGGCAGTGTCTGCACTTTGGAAAACAAGAAGTTCTGTAAAATGGTGATAAACAATTAGCATACAACCCCACAGCTCCATTTCCAGATGGGTGCATACCTAAGGCCAATGAAAGCACAAGCCCCACAGAAACCTGTGCATAAGCCTACATGAGCAATACAGTCCAGATGATAGAAGCAGCCCAGTGCGAAGGAATGAAGAAATACAGTAGGCTGCACCCACCCAATGGAGTATTTTTCAAGCACACACACCAAAAAAAGGAATACGGGCTGGGCGCAGGTGGCTCGCACTGTAATCCTTGCCACTCAGGAGGTTGAGTGTAAAGTAGATGTCAGAAAAGCTTGTGAGATACTACTTCAAAAATAATGAGCAAAAAGCAGGAATAGAGGTGCAGCTCAAATGGTAGAGTACCAATCAGCATAGCAAATGGAAGGCCCTGAGCTCAAGCTCAGTATCACTCCCAAAAAGGGGGAGGAGGTAGGGGGATAAAGTATTGTATGAACTGAGCGAAAGAGGCCAATCACAAAGGACTCTGTCATATGATCACACGTACGTGAAATGCCTACCAGGCCCCAGCCCATAATAAGGGAAAGGAGAGTCATGGGTGACTGAGGAAGGAGAGGAATTGTGAGGTGATAACTGAAGAGTACAGACCTTCCTTCTGAGGTGACGAAGATGTCCTAAGAAAGAAATGTTGTATGGTAACTTCTTTCTCAAAAACAGCAATTTCGAAAAGAACTTCGAGCATCCATAAAAGGGATGGATGGGTGGAGACAAATCAACAGGCCATGTATCAGTGCATTTAAGTTTCTACCTCTCTGAATAAGTGTTTTCAGAGGTGCTTTGTAATAATAAGAAAAACTTGTGCCAAGACAGGCTGATAAATTAGTTATTTACTAACTCCTCTGGCCAATCCATCCCTTGGAAGGACCTACCACAGTCAGGGACCAGACAAGGCAGTGCAGAAGCAAGCCGGGGGAGACAGAAGCTTCCTGTTGAGGGCAGAGGCCAGGCAGGGCATGCACCCATCACTCAGAAAGGCTCAGAGAGCCTAGGATATCAGCCAAGGGGACAACAGGGAGGGCCTGAAGTCTCTCAGCACATGTCAACACAGCCTTGGAGCACACACACACTCTCAGTTAAAGAGTACCTGGACAGAGGGATTCCTGGTACCTGTGAGGAGACTGATGTTGGCGCCCACAGCTAAGCAGATGGTGTCCCTCATCTGCAGAGCGGGTAACCTCTGGAGACAGCTGTGAGGACACGTGGGTGTGGAAAACCTTCTGGAAGTCACAAGGCCCTGCACACCCAACAGGGAAGATTTACTACTCACATCCGCACCCTTCTCTGCAGGGCTGACAACCTGGAATTTAAATCATGACAAATGCCACCACACAGGGGAGAAAACATGTTTACACTCTGAAGACTATGCTGTGGACGTGGGGAGCCGCGGAGCCCTGGGTCACCGCGCCTCTGAGGACACCCACGTTTTTTACACATCTCCCAGTGACGGGCAGCCACAGGACAACGCCTTATGTTCTGGCACTTGTTTGTAACTCCAAGGGCAAACTTTACACTTTAAATTACATAGGCCTCCTCGGCCAGATTTTCTTCTTGTAGTTTAAAGGGAAGTCATTCAGGACCTCCACCTTTGAAAGCAATCCTTACAGGTGAGACCTGAGGACGGTAGTAAGAAAAGGCATTCCAGGAAGGTTTGAGATCTGTGTCTCTCTAGAAGTTATTTTGTCATTTTCTGGTTTCAGGGTCACTGTATGTGAGCTGCAAGGCAGTAGCAAGAACACTGTGTGCACATAAGAGATCCCCATACCTGTGCATGTTGTGTGGGAAGGACTCAGGCTCAGTAAACATCAGCTGCTCTGGTCATCTAGGCAGGACAGAGAACTAGCAGAAGCTGCACCAGGGGGGAACCAAGCCATTATGAAGGGGGGACCCCAGTGGTCCCCATGATCTCAACCTGGTCTCTCCAGGGATATAGGATAATGGGAACGGGGCGGGGGGGAGGAGGGAGGAGAGGACAGAACAGCCACTCAGAAAAATGACTGTACTCGGCACTTCCATTAGCTGTACACAGGGAGAATAATCCGTAGTATTCTGGGTAGGAAAAGGAATAGGAATTAACATCCAGTGCAGAAGGTGCAGGGGAGGAAACACAGGCCAGCCAGGGTAAGCTGGAAGCAGAAGCAGCACATGTCAATCTCCATGGCAACCAGCCAAGCAGCTGGCAGAAGACGCAGACCTCTCTGACTCAAGAGGCCTGGGGCTGGATGAAGCAGAACTGGGATGTTTCAAAGACACCTGCATATACCTTCTGATGTTGCTCAAGAATGGGCCTGAGAGCGGCTTGTGCGGGAGAAACAGCACTTGGAGACGACCAAAGTAAAAGACCTACCTAAGGACCAACTCTCTGGTCAAATTTTAAAATTTTCTCAAAAGAATACCAGTGCTTGACCCAGGGTGTTTACTAGTCCTTAAGAGCTATGCATGAAAAGGACTGGGAATGCGGCTTAGTGGTAGAGTGCTTGCCTTGCATGCACGAAGCCTGGGTTTGATCCCTTAGTACCACATACACAGGAAAAAAACCGGAAGTGGCGCTGTAGCTCAAATGGTAAGGTGCTAGCCTTGAGCAAAAGAAGCTCAGGGACAGTGCCCAGGCCCTGA